GAGAAATAAAATAGCTCCTTGATTGCCTGATAAACCAATAAATGAATAGGAGTGAATCATGATGAACATATTGGTAAAGATTTAAATATCTCGTGATTTAACCTGCCATGTCAACATCACCAAAAGTAATATAAAACTCTTAATATGCCTCAAAACAAGGGCAGAGGTGACCCCCACGGGTGACATGGTTAACAAGGGTCATCAACTTACACAAAAGCATTTGAAGTTGTACAACTACATATTTATGTACATCGTATATAATTTGTTTGTGTGTGTGTGTGTGTGTGGATACACACTTGAATGAGAAACATGACATTTTCTCAAATTTAACACTTCTCTAAATTTACATGAGTTTTCCAATGATGAAATATGTTGTGAAGGTGAAAAAACATGTTTCTAAAATCTCAATCATACAGAGCAAGTTTCTATCAACCCTACCAGGGGAAAGACTAGACTTTTTGTTGTCTTTCTATAGAACTGAAATTACATAGTTACTACATAAGGATGAGACCACGGAGTATGCCTTCAAATGTGTAAGATAAAGGGTTAATTAGGCAGTTAACTAATAAAATATTTTTATTATAACAGCTCATAGTCCACAGAAAAATAAGACTCCCAAGGCATCAAGGTTTCTGGAGACCCTGGCTTTTTGGATTTGGAGACTGACCCTCCACACCCATGTGGTAACACAATTCGAGCATCCGCCCGTGGCTCAGTTTCAGCTTGCCGGCCTCCTGTTCATGACCTTTACCTTCCCCCCTCTATGAAAACCACAGTGTTTACCGATATCTCATCTGCCAGCTGGAGGATTGGACCTTTTAAGTTATATGCCATTTTTATTACAGATGTTGTAATGTCATAGCTCAAACGTAGCAACATTTACCTTAGAATTCATCAAATTGCCAAAAAAACCCCACAAACCCATAAAAAACCAAACCCAAGTTATTAAGTTTAAATCACCAATAGTCATACTAAGGTAAAACCTGAAAATTAATTGATTGGAAAAATGAAGAAAAACTCAATGTCTGAAACGAACGTTTAGTAGAATCTTTGTGTAAGGAAACTCAAAGCAGACTCTCCACAGGGAGATAAGAGCTTCCAACCCAAATACTCACAAAAGTCAATGACAAAAATCAAATTCATGTATCAGTCTTAAGTATGACCTTGGTTCATCTTATCTGGTGACATATTTTTAATGTTAAGATGACCTTCTGGAAGCATTCAGCAAACACTGAATTATTGAGTGCCTACTGGGACTGGGACTGAGAACAAGAGAGATGTGGCCTTGCCTCTCAGCAAGCTTATAGTCCCTGGAAACAATCACAATGGAACACACAGACGAGCCGACTTGGTGCTAAGAACTTACTTTTAAAAATAACCTTTAAAATATCTCCTTCCTCAGGAGCAACCCTTATATTGTCCAGGGTGGCAACATGCCAACTCAAGATGGAATTATGTCTCAGGCTCCCTTACAGATAAGGGAGACTAAGGAGATGAAAGCAGAGTTCGTGTGGGTTTCTGGGGGAAGCTCTTCAAACGGCATTTACTTATGTGCTAGGTCCTTCTTTGCCCTTCTCATTTCCTGTTTCTTTTTTCCTGTGATGTAGCATGATGGCTGGTGCTGCAGTGACCCTATTGTACTATGAGGCAGCCTTGGAGAAGATAGAGAAGCAAGATAAGAGCAATCAGGGACACTGGAGATGTCACGGTGTCAGCACATTGGCCTGGGACTGTCTACCTACACACTCTCGTGTGAAAGAAACCATACTTCTACCTACTTTAACAAAGTGTTATTTCCAGTTGCTTTTATCTGTGGCCACACATAACTTCTCTTTCAAACAGATAACAAAATCAATATCTCTGCAGATCGAAGATCACATCAGAAAGAATTAAACCAATAAAACAAGTATATATTCCTATGAACTTCCTCAGAAATGTCTTACTATAGCTAGAAACCTGTATGTGACAACATCTGGGGTGATTTTTCTGGACATCCTCAAATGCAAATGACTACCACTTCCATTCTGGAATGATTAAACCTCAACTTCCATCTGTAAACATTATTTCAGCTTCAAGATCACAAACAGCACGTTTCCTCTCTGCTCGTTGTATATCCTATTGGCCTGCCTCTTCCACATCCCAGTGGTCACTCAATGGGCTGAGCTCTCCTCAGGACTTCTCTTTCCCCCCTTAGCAGGTTTCTCTTGGCCTGTTTTGCTTTTGTTCACAGTGATGCATTTTACTGATTTTGCCACCTCTCCTCTAGAATTCCTTTTCCCCTGGAACTCTAGGGTCTGAACCATTGATTTCAAATGACCAGGTTCGTAGACCACATTAGGGGAAAGCAGCAGCCTTTCAACATGGGAAGAGATGCCCGTTTGGATTAAGAATGTTGGTTGACCTTTCACATTTTAGAAACTTTACCACCATTTTGCTCACCGCCACTATCTAGGTCACCGCCATCTTCCTCGTCACTGCTTTCATCCCAACCTTGCCCCCACCACCACCTTCCTTAGGACCACTGTTCTCTTGACCAACACCCTAGAGAAGAGTAGGTGACCAGCACTATCTAAATGCTTTCCATCACCGGCTCATTTTAACTTCACAAGAACCTAACGAGCTAGGCTTTACTGTCAGCCCCATCAACAGGTGAAGAGACTATATCAGATGGTTAACATGCTCATATCCATGGTAGGATCCGAATCCAGTTCTGGTTCCAGAGCCCATCTCTTCCCCTCCGTGTCCTACTACCCCTGGCAATTCTGGCTTCCAAAACGTAGGAATCCCTTTTCAACAACAAAGAAATCAGCCTTTCAGGAGTTTTTTAGAAAATCTAACTGTGAACTTCATTTATCCAACATTGGACAAAGACTACTTTGGGACACCCGATACCCAAGAAGGACAGTTTCGTGGACTTGCTAGTTCCTGTTCCTCTCACTTGATTTCTTACATCTCTGCAGGAGTTGAGACATCACTTTTGCCCTGTGGGAATGTCAAGCTCGTTGTCCAATGTCCATTTGAAAAGAAGTTCTGTGCTTTTGCTGATATCCACACATGAATATATTTTCCATGACGCTACTCAGTGTCTCCTACTCTTAAGATCTGAGTTAAATTTTTCCTTGCAGTCAGTGGTATTAACAACAACAGCACAAATCTCTCCCTCACAGTATTTAGTTCATGACGAGGCACATGCTTCTTGTTTCCTGAGCCATAGGAGCTAAAATCAGGGCTGTACTGAACTAATTAGCCTCACATACCTGGTAACATTGCTAGGTCTCCTTATTTTAGATTGGGGTTATGTAATTTTTATTTTCATTACAATGTCTATATTGAATATGAAAACAAGCCTTTAGTACTTTTTTTGGGGAATAGCTTTGGATACAGAAATTCTGCAGGTAAACCAGCATCCCCAGCGAATGTCCCATGGGACACCAGCTCAGTGAGACACGATGAAGTGGCCGGGGAAAAATTATTCCTGGGGCCAAGTAAGTCTGAAAAACCCTACAGACTATTCACGTCCCTCTTAGAGAAGTAAAGCATTTTAAACGTACCCGGGAGTGTTGCGGTAAAAGAAATCTTTCCTCTCTTCAACCCCGTGTCACCCGTATCTAGCTGACTCTGAAGTCTTCCCCTGCCCCGCAATGATGTAACTCGCAGAACTAGTTTTTTGGAATACCAGTTTGTGCAACTCGGGAACAGTGGGCATTCTGTTTTAGCTGTCATAGGAACACGTCCTGGGAAGCAAGAGAATGAAGCCATATTAGCTATTTTGGTTTCTGCCACGTGGAGCTTGGAATCCAGAGTGCCCACCCCCCCCCCGCCCGGGAGAGGGGGAGATTTCCACCCTGAATGCGTCACCCACGCAGGGCTGCTGGGGAGGAAAGGGCACTGGGGAGCCAGAGCGCCCTCCTTTCCTGAGCCACCTGGAGTAGCCCTGGGATGTGAGAGAGAGAGAGAGAGAGAGAGAGAGAGAGGTGTGGAGCAACTGCAAATCCTAGACATGTGCCTTTTAGGAAGCATAACATTGCCATTAGCTGCATGGCTCCCTGGGGGCTGGGTTCCCATCCCAGTTTTGTCACTGACTCTGCCCGTGACCTTGGAGCACTTATCTAGATTCTCTGAGCTGAAAGTAAGCTCCCTTACGGGTAACGAGTGATTACTGAAACCCATTTCACATGGTCAAATGAGGCAAAGAATCTCAGGCGAGAGCCCCATTGGGGCTGATGGATGACCAGCAAAGTCCCAGCCACCACCAAAGGCTATCTTTACCCATCCTATGCTCTTGGTCAGTAAGACGGGTATCAGATCTTTGGCCCAGGCCCTGACACCCCAGAGAAACCACGGCGTTTGTGTATTTCCATCAGACGCATGGTGCAAATAACTTCCTGGTTTGGACACAAATTCAGCAAGGGAATGGAATTTTGTGTACCTAGCCCGGCCCCAAACATTGCTCCGTTGCAATAAATGGGGCCCAGCAACCATGATCCATAATCATAAAAGCCCAAGAGCCAAGAATAAGTAATAGCTCTTCCAGACAAGCTAACTTGGTGATAATTTATAAGCTTCTGGGCCACCTTGTTATTGCCCAGAAAATCTGCTTTACCTTCTCGCTGCTGTTCCGTCTAGCCTCTCAATCTGTACTCGCTGGAAAAAAATACTTATTGTTATGCTAAAATCACAATGGGCCTCACATAACTCAGCGCTAAATAACACCGATAAAACTAGGAAAATGGCACTTTGGCATTAAAAGTTATTTTCTTATGGACTTTAACAAGATTCAGTGCTTTTGTTCTCACAGCGCTCTTTCCGGCTTTATGTACACACAAAAGACACCAACGTGAAAAAGTATGAAAGAGCAAAACGACGCCCCCTCTCCCACTGGGAGGGTTTTTGTTGGCAAACCAGCAGCCGGCAAGGGCTGTAGTGCACGGGATTGATAGCGCTCGGCGACCATGGCCGTGAGCAGCTGGGGTGGTGGGCGGCGGGCAGTGGACGTTTACCTCTTTCTTGGTGAATTTTGGCGAGTGGTCATTTTTGTCATCGATCATGATTGTCGCCGTGGCTGTGCCTGTTAACCCAACATCCAGTCCCGCCATGTCTTGAGCCTCGATGATCAATTCATACTTGGGATTTTCCAGAGTCTATAAAGCAAAAACATGACAGACAAGATGGCATTTATGTTTGGGCTGCCACCTGGGGTTCGGGGGTCGCGGGTCTACACCACCCCCTCCCCCATCGGGGCAGGCATCCCACACCCACAGAGCCTGCACCTGTTCTGTATGACTGTGCCTCTGGCATCTTTCCAACATGAGACTGTCACGATTCATACAGTCGTGGGGATGGAATCTGTTTCCTGTCCTTGTTTAAAGGGGCACTTGGTACATTCCAGACTCTCGCATTTCCGGGCTTTGGGGAGAAAATGCATGTCTGATGTTTACACCCATTTATGTCATTTCACAGTGACCTCATGAAACGGCTCTACAACGGAGGTCAAGTGTGATGATGAGACAGGGACAAGATGGCAGCTCTGGGAACCCACCTTTACTGAACAACCAGCTAACCAGGCATGGGGTACTAGATTTTGTACTTAATCTTTCCAATAAGTGTGTTAAGGCATATATATGGTTCTCATTATACAGGTGAAAAAAATCCCAACTGAGGTTTGGAGTCGCTTGTACCGCATTTCTTGCATGTCATTTGTAGGCATTTGTTTCTCATGTTAGGTTAATTTTGGAAGATGCACTTTAATCCATGAATACTTTCACGGCTATTTTTCTTCTATGTTTAAACACTCAAAACAACTACCCAAGGGGCTCTGACCCCAAGACTCATACGTAACAACCCCCGCCTTTACACTGTCTTCTGGAACAGATTTGCTTGTCTTGGCCAACAGCCCCTCATTCTTCTTCTGGTAAAGCAGCACCCCACTTTTCCTTTGGGGACCTACCCATCACCTATCCTTTGCCCATGGGGTTTGTCTTGGACTGCCATTCCCTGACTGCCACCCTGCCAATGCCTGGGACGAGCCCTGATGAGAAGAAGCAAGTAAGTGTCTGCCATTCCAGGGGGATGGTGATGCGTCCAGGCTCGGGACCTGTGTTTGACATTCGAGAGAAGGAAGGTCTGTGTCCCTGTGGTATAAGCCTGCAAGATGTGGCCTGGGGGCTAGATGAGCTGTCTCGGGACCAGAGCTGGGCTTGGGTGGTGGGGAAGCCCCATTTGAGAGTGAAGTCCATCTTCTGACAGAACGAGACTTGAACTCTGGAGAAGAAGAGACGTTTCCCAGCAATTGCACTGGATCACTTTATCATGCCATGCCCGAAGCCAGTCTTGCCTGTGGACTATTTAGCTAATTACGGCATTAATTTTCCTTATTTGCTTAAACCATTTTGGAGTGTTTTCTTAATCACTCACAGAGTTCAAGTTGAATCGCCTTCAATAACAAACATAAAAGGTCCTACCAGTTGCAAATCGTCTTGCTTGTATGACAGCTTCAAAAGCTGTTGCTTATACCAACCAACAATTAAGAAATACCACGGGGAGCAAAAAACAAAAACGCAGTGGGGATCTAGAATTTCCTTCTAAAATCAAGAGTTTACATGGTAAATTTTAACAGCTCAATGGTAGCTGTCCCCAAAACTTTCCAGCATTTTTAAAGAGTGTTTGGCTCCCTAGGGCACCTTTAATTGGTTGTTTCTTAACTAAGAGCTTCTGAACTACTAACTTAAGGAGTAGGAGTTCTGTTGTAGTATGGTTTGGGAGGCTCTAAACTCTCAGATTTGAGAAAAGGAGTGGGTTGCTGAGACAAGCCTTGGACAGAATTATTCACGATGTTTCCTACTCCCCAGCTTCATTATAGTTGACATATAACACCGGGTAAATTTTAGGTGTACATACACTGATGGGATACACGTATGGATTGTGAAATGAGCTCCACTGGGATGGAAAGCCACAATTCTCTAACTGTTGAGTGTAAACAGAGTTCAACACCAAATCTCGTTCTAGGTGACTCTGATTGTACCTGGTTCAGTTCCATCTACTCTCAAGCTCAAGTTGGAAAATCATCAGCTTAATTCGAGTCCACAAGCTGGGTGGGATTTACTATTTGCCATAAATTCTGCAGCTGGACCATATGAAACCAGTCAATCGGGCCCATTTTCAAAATCTTCCCAGAGTGTCTCTGGACATAAAACCACTAGCCAGGTCTAATTTCTAGTATAACATTTTTACTTTTCTAATAAAACATTACATGGTTTTGGAAGCATTGAATCATAAAAATAAGAAATTATATGAGTTTTTCTGATAGTGAAGAGATCAGGGCAAACTCAACGGCCACTTTCCCCATGTAATGTCATTGGCCAATATCATTTCCTGACATCACTTTAAGGGTTGCGAAAATATAATGCTATGCATACTTTATAATTTATTTCATCATCTTATGAGGACTTTTGGTTATTTCCAGTCTCCAAACATTTTTGACAATTGCAAATCACAATGCAATGAACATTTTTATTCAAGAAGCTTTTGATATACTTTGACTCTTTATTTTTTGAATGCTGGATTCCAAGCAGTAAGTAAAAGAGTATAAACATTTTTAAGGCTCTTTACAGTCGACCCTTGAACAATGTGGGGGCTAGGGGTGCCCAACCCCGTGCTATTGAAAATCCATGTATAACCTGACTTCCCAAAAAAGCTAAGCCTACTGTTGACAGGAGGCCTTACCGATAACATAATTAATTAACACATATTTTATATGTTATATATATTACACACCATATTCTCCCAATAAAGTAAGCTAGACAAAAGAAAATGTTAAGAAAACCATAGGGAAGCAAAAATACATATTTAGTGCTGTGTTGTATTTACTGAAAGAAATCCATGTATAATCCATACGAAGGAAACCGCCGTTGTTCATGGTCATTTCTATTCCTATCTCAGTACCGCTTACCTAGAAGACCTGACCAATTTCCCTGTCAGTCCTGCTAGAACATTTAGTATATGATCCTGGGCATGGTTTCTCCCTAAAGAACAGCTGATCTTGCCCCGTGACACAAACTGGGGGCCGAGCATGGTTGTGGGATCACTATCTAACAAGGCTGTGAATTCCTCCCAGCATTACCTTGCCCCAACACACAGTTCAGGTTACTATGGACACACCCCATGGGACAGCTTCAAGCACCAACTAGTGGACACATGTTGCTCTGCTTCCCCAGTGACCCCTCCCTCTTCCCCTTGGACCCAGGCTATCATTCCTTGGGCGGGGATTGGGGGGGAGACAGCGGGTGGTGGGGAGCTCACTGCTTCCTCACTCCCAGCCCAGGTGGAGTTCAGGAAGGGTTGACTCTATCCATGACAGAGGGATGGTCACGTGACTCAGGCCCAGACCATCAGAGTCTCCCCTTCCCATGACCTTGTGATGAGCACATAACCCAAGTCAGGCCACCCAGGACTGAAACTCAAAATTCTGGGACATACTTCCTTTAGTACTCTTGGGAAGAAGGAGTTCTCTTTCCTTTGGACTTGGAGGTGGGCGGACACAAATCTGGAGCTGGTAGTGACCATTTGTAAGCACACAGAGAAAGTCAGCCTGAGAGAGAAGATGGCATAGAACCACCCAGAGGAAGAGATGGAGTTCTTTCAACCTTATTCAAGCCATTTAATCATGATCCTTGAAGGCAGAATCTCCCCCTCATATTTTGTGAGTTCTAGGAGCTAATAAATTTCGCCTTTCCATAAGACATCTAAATTAAATGTTCCACGAGTAGCAACAAGGGAGTTTTGACTAATACTGCAACTAACGCTGTGACCAATTACCTGGTTATTTGCAAGAAAGTGTGAGAGCTATTGTACCATCCTACAGTATCACAACAGCCTCTACACAACAGCATTCCAATCATCTTGTGCATACATTATTTTTCCTGCTCCCCTGCATAGAAACACTTTTGTTTTTGGACCAGAGAAAGTTAATTCTAATTTTTTCCTTCATTAGTTTTACATTCATTTAACTGGAAGTTACTAAGCATTCAATCTAAGTAGTGTGCTGGGTGCTGGGAATACAGGGTCATTTCTTCAAGGAGCCGAGGGAAGTTGCAGGGTTGGGCATGGCTACAGCCATGAATAATAGCACCAAAGTGGAGTTGGGCTAAGCAGAGACAGGTATGAATTCTTAGGATAGCTCAAAGGAAAGACGCATCGGCTTAACTCCCTTGTAATTGGACAAATTTTATAAAGAACTTTTAAAAAATGAACTGGCAATTCCCATCTACTGAAGTAAATAAAACTTTATGAGTGCAACAGAAATAGATTGATTAACCACGCTGAAAATCAATTAGACAATTAAGGAGATAAATTATGTGGTTTGGGATGAGATGTTCGCAAAGTCTCAATTTTCTGGCACATGTAAGGCTACTATGAACACATGTTTTTACTCTTGGAGAAATACCCAGTTGTTTTGGGCAAATAGAAAAATACGATCGTTTCTAGAGCGGTAAGTGAGCACCGACCTCCCCCTTTCCCCAGCCCCACCTCCGAGAGGCAGTTACCATGTGTGGTCTGATGCCTCCTTCCCTTTCCCCCACATTACACATGCACGTGCACGTGCACGCACGCACACACACACACACACTCCATACGCACACGTCTTCAAACAAGTGATACCTATGTTCACACAGCTGTGCAAATTGTTCAGCCCTATCACTGCTGTCCCAGGGCTGTCGAGCGCATGGTCTGGACCCGCCACCATTCACGCAGCCCTCCGTACTGCATGGTCCCTCATGGAGCTGTTTCCAAGTTTTCTTCCTTAAAAGTGGCTCTTAAGATGACAAGGCCACTGGCTTCCCAGTATTTGGGGGATATTTCTTTGCTGTGATCAACAGCATTGCTTTCCATGGTGACAGCAGTAACAAAAACTGAACAACTGATAATAAACGCAGCCTCCTCGGACAGGTGAAAGACTTGGAGGGAACGTCACCCGGATCCCCCTCGCTCTTACACCACTGGAACGGCTTCTTCCAATCACACCGCCCCGCTTCCCACGCCAGCTAAGCCTTCTTCCGTAAATCCCTCGCTCCCACGGTCACTCTCTCTTCAAGTGTACGCATCCCTGCTCATTTCTGTACCCCATAGCGGTCACTTGCCTTTG